AAGAATGTATTTTTAAACAATGAGCACTTAGATAATCAAGTGACATGATATAATTTGAAGGGGGGGATCTAGTAGCCGAGAAACAATATGAACGACTCAAGGAAGATCTCAAGAGAAGGAAAAGACTATTCAATATACTTTATACTAAAGCTACATTAACTCTGAAACTCAAATATCCTCAGTTTGCAGTATACAGAGAGATTTAATCACACACTGGGAACAATGCAGGCTTGAAACCAAGACTAGTCAAGTCATAAAGACAAAATATGAAAATAATAACAGCAGTGACCATGTGATGAAGTTCTGTAGTTTTTGTAGGGAAAAATAGTAATATTTTACTCAAATGAAGCCAGCATATCCTAGGTCCCACTGCTACAGGAGGAATCACTGTCTGTCACCATGGTCTTAACTTCCTTGTTCTGCCCACTCCTCAACCACCTTGCTGCCACCTAGACCATGGAACAGAGAGCAGCGTCCCATCCCTGTACCTGCCTCCTGCACATCCCCATGCTCACAAGGAGCAGCTCTGTATCTGCTTTTCCACATCAGGCTTCCCACAGGAACTTCAACAGCAACCACAAAAACTCAACTCCTCAGCTTCCAAGCAAAACCTGCTGTCCCTTAACAGAAGCACCACAATGACCACAGCCACCTAAACCACCACAGGGGCTTATGCCACAGCCATCGAATCTCCTGGGAATATAGCTCAGTGCTGATGCACGATTAATTAAAGCTCAGTGACTGATACTGGGGTTCAACCTAAAGATTCGAAAAGCAAAAGTAGCCAGGCTCTTACCTTGACCTCAGTCCAAAATGGCGATTCTGCCTCCAGGAATCTCAGAATGAGACTGAGAGCTGTCTCCTCCCATCTTATATTCCTCTTGAGGGCTGGGATTAAAGGTGTGCACAACTGGGATTGAAGGCATGCACCACCTGGTTTCTACGGCAAACTAGTGTGGCTACTGGGATTAAAGGTGTGTGTTACCACTGCCTGGTCTATAGGGCTGATCAGTGGGGCTGTTTTATTCTCTGATCTTCAGGCAAGCTTTCTTTATTAAAATACAAACAAAATGCCACTATATAATGTAGTGACGTTTGCCTAGAATATATAATGTCCTAGGTTTGACACTCAACACCATCAATTTATTTTTTTTTTAAGGAAAAGTATGGTATTAAGTCATTCAATACATACCACCTAGAACTAACAAAGCCAATGCTTTTACCAACAGGACTATAGCTCACATTTGGAGTACCCTCAAATGAAGTATTTTTAGAAAAGATATGCAAATACAAATATAGATATAAAATCTACATAGTTCAGCAGGACAGTGGTGGTGCACGCCTTTAACCCCAGCACTCAGGAGGCAATGGCAGGCAGATCTCTGTGAGTTCGAGCCCAGCCTGGTCTGCAGAGCTAATTCCAGCTGTGTGATAGACAGCTAGGACTATCACACAGAGAAACTCTGTCTCAAAAAACACACAAAAAAAAAAAAATACAGAGAGAGAGAGAGAGACAGAGAGAGAGACAGAGAGAGAGACAGAGAGAGAGACAGAGAGAGATCAAATTTAGATAAACAAAAATGAATAGGCTACTGGAAGACAAAAAAAAAATTCAAATGGAAATATTTCAAATGGATAAATGTGACAAAACCAAAAGACATTATAAATAGAATGTAACTCAAAAAAATATGCCATAAAAACAAAAGTTTGACCCTAGAGAGAATATAGAGTACAATACAACTAAAGTAACGAAAGGTCCTGATACCTTTTTCCATTAGAGAAGACACCACAAAAATACAAAAGAAACCACTTACCTAAGTGAGCAGCTACTCTGGGAAGTGATTAGTAAACCTTGAGAAAGCCATTCTAAATGACCTGGATAGTGTCGGTCAAAAGTCATCCATTTCAGAACCGGAAGATTCTGAGATATCATCAGCTCCCTTCACTAAGAAGAGAAGAAACTGAAGCTTGGGAGAAAAATGAGTTACCAAAGACTCATCACTAGTTAAGATGAGAAATACGGGCAACAGCTTCCACACGCTCTCCCTGGGACTCTGCCCTATATAACTACTCTTCCCCTGAAGGTAGGTTGTATGATATGCTATTGATTATATGTACACATAAAATGTTTTTCTTTCATTCTAGTAGCCTGTAGGTGGTGCCCAGACTTCATTTGGTTGGTAAAAGTAGCTTCCCAAACTCATACCTTCCTTTCTACTTCATTTGTCCCTCATAAGAAAACCACTCTCCAAGTATAAGTCCCAACAGGTTGGAACAGCTTTGGGTATTAAGGCTGACAGCATGCCATGTCATCCTGCCTCATTACTCATCCTGGTTTTCAAAACCCAGATAGCATTTCATTAAAAACACTACGACTTCCTTATCCAGGCAAAGTGGTTTCATTTCACAATCACAAGAAAGAAGTGCAGGTAGGGGCAGGTGACTACTCCCCAGGCAGGATCATCTTGGAGCTACAGAAATTGAGAGAAACTAAGGCAATGGAACTGAATACATCCAGCTGATAAAGAATGTAACTATAAACAGGGACTATGCATATTCAAGTATCTAATAGCAAAACATAATAATGTTATTTACTAGTGATGGTGCAAGCCTTTAATCTCAGCACTAGGGAGGCAGGTGCAGGTGGATCGCTGTGAGTTTGAGGACAGTCTAGTCTAAGAATAAGTTTTTCAGGACAGCCAGAACTACACAGAGAAACCCTGTTTCAGAAAACAAAACAAACGCTAACTATTCTGCCATGTGATGGGGACTGGTCTAAGAGATTTACACACTTTATTGGTAATCTTCACGATCCCCACCCCAAGAGAGGCACGACACAGGGAGATAAGCAGGACCAGAATCTCTGGACACAAGAACCTTAGAGGTGGGGAGAGACAACCAAAATGACCTTTGGTTCCAAGCCTTCTTACACTGTTAGCCTGTACACACACACACCGAAGTCCTGAGAATACCAATGCACACACGGCACAGTCATTTATTTAGGCAGACTTCTCAGTACCATATGAAAACTGAGGACCCCAAAAACAAGCAATTCTCAGACATAAAGTAAGGTGGCCCTTGAACTCATCAAGGGGGTTTACTTTCTATTCTATCATAAGAACTTCTTATCTATACATATTCCAAATTGTATACTTGCCATAGCAAATAAGTTAACAAATTCTACAAATTATATATGAAAAGACAATACACATCTGAGAACCCTACACAAAGTGACTTTGAAGTACTCTAGAACAGTATGCATGAAACCTATTCAAAGCTGCCTAAAGCAGGGCTCAAGAATGTCTTAAAGCAATATAAATGGCTTAAAGGAGATGGGAATGAAGGGCAGGAAACAATGGACTCTCTTAGGAGACTAAGCTGGCGAAGGATAAGCTGGTTCACAAAACGAGGAATTTTTGCATTATGCTAAATAGTAGGTTTAATGGCTCAATATAACTGAATGATAGAGTATCTTCATTACATCCAGTCCCATAAAAGCCTTGAAATGCTTTAAAGCCAGAGTTCACGGTGGCAGCACAGTCCCCAGGAAGCAGCGCTTTAAAATGACGCAGCTTTTTTTCTGCTGCTGTTGCTGAATCAGGAAATTTCTCTACAGCACGCCACCAACAAACAACAAAAATCTGTGTTAAACTCTCTCTCCCTTATTTTTAAGCCTTCTCAGGTTTTTAAGTGGATTTAGCCCATCACGTATGGGCACCATCTGTTGAATTAGGAGCGGCAGGGCTGCGTCCCCGGCACCCGGCCGCCCGCATGGCTAGCTTATGCCCGAAATAATTTCACAGAAACTGTATTCTTTCAAACACTGCCTGGCCCGGCTAGTTCCAGTTTCTTATTGGTTAGCTCTTTCATATTGTTCTAACCCATTTCTAATATTCTGTGTAGCCCACGAGATGGCTTACCAGGGAGGATCTTAACCTGCATCTGTCTGGAGTGGGAGAATCATGGCGACTCCAATACTCAGCTTCTTTCTCCCAGAATTCTCTTCTGTATACTCCGCCTACCTAATTTTCTATCCAATAAAATGGGCCAAGGCAGTTTCTTTATTATAATTAACCAATGTCCTTCCTCCATCAAATAACAAATCCAACTCATATATATATGTATATATATTTAATGCCCCATATATATTTCTTTCCCATTCCCCCTCAGATATATATGGTTGTTACATACCAATCACTATCACAAGCTTATCTTTGAGAGCCCCTCCCAAAGGATCCCAATGATGCTCAGGAGCTTTCGAACCTCTGCAGCTGCACTGCATAAATCAAGTGACCAGCCTTCTTCATTCCTCCCACCCGCCTCCCCAAAACAATGACCTCACAATTCATAATCTTCTCGGATACTAAGGAAGGCAACCACACCACAGAAACCTAACAGTCAAATTTTGGCTTGATTTTTAAAAAGCTAATGTAATTAATGACACAGTCAGAATATAATTGTTTGCATTATACAAATGTTTCTTCCTGTAATTCCTAAGGAGCACACAGAGTGCCACTGTTCTCACATCATGAAAGGCATCGCTCCTGACTTCAAGGGAATTACGGAGAGCGGGATTCATCAGAAAGCCGAGAGAGGCCTTAACTAGATTCTCTAAATCACAATTTTATTAGGTATAATGCCATTTCTAATATGCCACAATGAAAGGGTGGCAGGACTTAAGATACTCAACAGGCTTGAATATTTTCAAACAGATCTTAAACTGGTTGATTCTCTCTCCTGTGTCTTTGCAGAGATCCAAGGCACACTGGCCTCAGCTTCACACTCTGAGGTCACTCCTTCCACGCTGCAGTCGGTGAGACGTCTGGATTTCATCACCATGAAATCATGCTCTTCAAATCCTAGTGCTGGGCTTGCATTTAGCTCTCAGGAGGTTGGCCTTTGTTTGTGGAAGAGACCTCGGTGACCTCACTGCAATCAATACACCCATAAGTGGCTATGGAAGATGCTTAAGAGTGTCAGCGGCGAAAAAAGCAACTCACCATTCTAACTACTTCAGGGTAAGTCTGCTCTGTCAGACAGCCTCTGCTTATTGTAATGTAGTCCACCAGTTCATTAAGAGTGGAGCGCTTGTATTCTTTCATTTTTAGATCAGATAGCGTGTCCATGAAGTCAAAAATGACACAGCACTGCTGAAGTTTCTTTAGGAACAGTTCAGGCTGCTCTGAGGTTGGAACGTCTGAGAAAAAAAGAGGAAATGGTGTAAGTCTGTCATCAATTCCAGGCAACAGGAATTCTCTGAGAAAGTTACGTCAAAAGCAAACTCAAAAGAACAAGACAACAGTGTTCTTGCTAGCATACACACAGGCAGGAGACACCGTAAACACCCCACCAGAGACCCACACAAGTGACTGCATTTGCTATTCTGCAACTGACTAGCTCCCAAGAGACACCTGCAGGTTAATATAAAGTTTAGCCCAAAACACCCCAATGCCAATATCCTTAATATCTAAAATTATTGAGAAAGGCCAAACTTTCCCTTATAAAGTGAAACCGCCAGCTTTTGGTTAATTTAAGTTCATTTACCAAAAGACTTCAGAGCAGAAATGCCAGTCTATTCTTTCCATGTTGACATCTTTGGTGTTTAAAGCAATGGCTACGTGTGGGTTTTGCTTTTAGTTTCTTCTGTTTTTGTTTTATTTAGGTTTGGGCTCCATGAAGTTGCTTTGTGAAATAAACACGGAAAAACAACAAAATGAAATAATGCCAAAAGTATGCCAACACAGAGACATGGCAGTTGGTAAAGTGCTTGCACACAAGCATGAGGACCCAGGTTTAACCCCCACAGTCACAGGAAAGCTGGTAGGCATGGAAATGCACATCTGTAACAGCTCACTGAGGCGGCAGAGAGCAGCAGTGTCCCTGGGCCTTGCTAGCCAGCTAGCCTACCTAGCTGGTAAGTAAGCCCCAGGTCCCCGGGAGAGACTCTGTCTCGAAAACTAAAGTGAACGGCTTATGAGGAACATACCCAAAGCTGACCTATGGTCTCCACATGCACACACCCAAGCAGACACACAAAAAGATCACATCAGAAGTGGTAACGTAAGAAAAAATTTCACTGAAGTCTTTATCTTTTGACCCATGTTCTTCTTGAGCAGTGAGAAAAACCCTCTTACATCTTTATTGAAATGTCCTCAGAGGGCCAGCAAAATGGCTAGTCAGGGAAAGGCATTTCCCACAAACCTGACAATCCCACATAATGGAAGGAGAACGCCTACTCTACAAGTTGTCTTCAGAGCTCTACATGTGTGCTATGTTTATTAGTAAAATTAATAAATAAAATTTTTAAATAGTTAAGTGTTTTCAGAATAGATATTTATTCTCTTTTCAAACATACAGCGAATTAGGGGCTAGGGGATATAGCTCAGTTGGTAGAGCACTTGCCAAGTTTACACTAGTCCTTGCTTCAATCCCCAACACTGCATGAAATCACAAGTGCTAACACTGGCCTACAATCCCTGCACTTAGGCCAATAGAGGGATCAAGAGTTCAAGAACATCCTCAAGCTTGAAGCCAGCATGGGCTACATGAGATTCTATCTAAAAGGGGGTGCCAGAGGTGGTGGCAAGATAGTTAAGCAGTTAAATATGCTTATTACCAAGCCTGACTCCCTGAGGGAAGAGAAATACGATTCTAAAGTAAGGCATCAGAGAAAACCAGAGCAAAACTGTCTTCTGGACAGGAAAGGACTATGCACTCGTGAACTCAGAGCAGCTGTAGATGTCTGCACACGACCTGCCCAAGACCAAGCCGGGCAATAGTCTAGCACGGAGTGGGGAGAAAGCGTTCACAAGCCTTTTTCCCTAACAGAGGAGCTAAGGACAGCTGATGACTTCTAGGGGAGGGAAAGTTGGTTTTCTTAAGTATGTGGCTCCTGGTAGGACAACAGGGACCGAGTGGGTGGTCCTACATCCAGGAATACGGAGACAGCACAAACTGAAGCTGAGGGAGCTGAGGTAGCGAGGTAGAGTTGATACGGAAGAACTTAGAGGAAAAAAATGAGGGGTGAATGTTCTCAAAATCATTTTATGAAAATCACAATAAACAAAAATATTTTTAAACTACACAGTATATCCGGAAGTAATATCACAGACTTTAATCCCAGCACTTGGGAAGCAGAGGCAAGTGGATCTCTGTGAGTTCAAAGCCAGCCTGGACTACATGAGTTCTAGAACAGGGCTTTGTAGTGATTCTTTCTCAAACAAAACAAAACAAGAACCTAAATAATATAAATTTGAATCCCATACCATAACAAATTGCTCTAAGGATATAATTCAATTAGCAGTGTTTGCCAACTTCATCGATTTGATTTCAAACCAGAGAGAGAGAAGGAGAGGGAGAGGCGGGGGGGAGGGGGGGGAAGCGGAGGGGAGAGAGGAGAGAGCAGAGAGCGAGCGCAAATAACTCACACATTTAGCTCAAAGATATTTCTAAAAGTGAAATAGAAATTTGGGGTTAAAATTCTCCAACTAGGAAGGAATATGATCTACAGCTGGCTATTCTACTTCTCCCACTTCTTTCTACTTTACCCACCCCTACCCTATGCTGTAGCTTCCCGTGAATGGCAATGAGAATTAGGATCAGTGTAGTGGTTTGAAGAAATGGCCCACAGAGACTCATCTATTTGAATGCTTGGTCCATGTTTGGTGAAACTATTTGGAAAGAATTAGAAGGTGTAGCCTTGTTGGAGGAGGTGTCACAAGGGGTAGCCTTGAGGTTTCAAAAGCCAAAATTATTCCCCCATCAGCTCTCTGCCTCCTCTTTGCAGACTGGCCCTGCCTGCCTGCTTCCACACAATCTACCATGATGGCTACCGACTCACCCTCAGAACTCAGCCCTGTAAATATTTTCTTCCCTAAGTTGCATTGGTCGTGGGTGTTTGTCACAATAGACAAGTAACTGACACATTCAGAGCAGGCTCTACTGCCAGCATCCAAGTGAATAATTCATTAATACTGAGAATACATTTAGAGGTAAGCAGGTGGCATTCTATTTTAAAAAAAGAGAGCAAGATGATTATTGAGATTTCATGATGAGTTATGGAATGGGAACAATGCTTGGGTCTCTAGCCACACCCACATGGCCTCTGTGCTACTGAAGGACTCCAGGGCACTTGGCCAGTTTACCCAACACCAGGGAGGTAAATGGAACAGAGAAAATGCTTACTACCGCAACATCAGCTAAAGGTTAAAATCTTCAGGGGATTTTTAATTAATCCAAATTTTGATAGCTTAAACAAAGCCCCCAAACCAGACTGTCCACATGGAGAAGGTTTACAAGTGCATAGGAAGTCTGATACATCAGTAAATGACAGCTTTTTAAAGAGCAAACCATCATTCACGCAAAAACAATGTCTGTGGTCACTCAATAGATTTACATATTTAACAATTCAAAGCATTCAGGCAGTTGGCATTTAGAAGCTTTTTAATGGTAAGCAGTTGGAATCCATTCTTTATTAATGCGAACTGATCCATAAGACAAATCTGAAGCAGGCTATCCACCTACTAGATGAGATGAGACAATAGCAACTTATATTTATTGGATGTACTGAGTATATTCTGTGTTCTAGTCTAGGCACTTAGACACACTAACTCTCATTTAATCTCTACAACGATATACATGAATAGGTGCTGTTTTCAACTTAATAGATGAGTAAATCAAGACAGAGAAATTCAATATCTTGCCCAGAATCCTACTGCTAATAAACAGTAGAGACATGATTCAAATCCAGTCTGTGTGGCTCCAGAGCCTGGACTCTTCCACACCACGCAGCATTCAGACGCACAGAGACAAAGATTACATTCCAGAAAACAGGGCGCATGCAATGGTAGCGGCAGATGAAAATAGAGAGAATCTCAAGTACGCTCCCAGCACAACCCCATTCATCAAGCAGCACACTGTGTTCCTCCTTAGCTGCTTCCAGAGCTTCCCAGACAGAGCAAAGGCTTCGCTTTCTATTCTTTATCCTTTATCACAGATTAAATTCTTCTTAAAAGGCCTCCCTTCATTAAAGAACATAAGCAGGCAGGACAAACCACAAGATGCGGGGGCGTCCCTTCAACAATTTGTATAGTAACAGCCTGAAAAAAAAATTTCCCATCACAACTGAAGAATGAGCTATAAAATCAGTTGAAGAGCCAGGATAGCATGAACTCAAGCATTCCCAACAGCCTGGGAAAAGTGAACAAGTCTGTCAGTCTCCCATTCTCTCTCCCCCTCTTATCCCTCTCCCTCTCTGTGGTGTTGGTGGGGGGTGACCCACGCAAGGAGCCTGACCCTGGGACTGCACTAGAGCTGTGCTGCCCCCTATCTCCATTCCCTTATCTCCCTGGTCCTAGTGGATTGTGTAAAGATAAGCTGAACAAGGACCAGAGGAGTGCTGGGTAGTCCAGAAGATTTCGATGAAGTAGAAGTTTAATATCTATGGATCACTCCAAAAGCAAATATACTCTTTCAAGAAACACTTATTTGAATGGGAGGAGAGGGGCTGGAGAGACGGCTCAGCAGTTAGGAGCACTGGCTACTCTTTCAGAGGACCGAGATTCAATTCCCAACACCCACATGGCAGCTCACAACTCTACAATTCCAGTTCCAAGGGATCCAACACCTTCACAGACATACAAGTAGGTAAAACACCAATGCACATAAAAATAAATAAATTTAAAAGGAAGAGGAGAGGACTAGGTACACTGTTCCCCTGCACTTGAAAAGAGAGAAATCTCATTAATCACAAAAAGAAGGTAGTGTCCAGCCAGTACATTCTGACCACAATGTGTAAGCCAACAGTTGCCACCTACTTCCCAAAATCACCCAACATCTAAATACTTCTGAAGTAACTTAAGATTGAAGGAAAATATTAACCTTTAGAAATAAATATAAATTATTAAAACTTAAGGTCATCTTAGAATTGCCAAGCAGGCAATCAACAAATTTATCACTATTTTCCAATGGAATCCTTTGGCCTACAAAAGCCATCCTGCCCCACAGAGAGTTCCATGAAATCATAACCATTAATAACAAGAAATTGATAAGTGGTTGCATAACAGCATGAAGGTCATTAGCACAATGACTCTCAGGGAGAATAAACTGACCTAGTTATTAGAGTGTATGAGGTTCCACCAGATCAGGTTCCATCAATCTGGAAGGCCACTAAAGTTAAACCATCTCCAGAAGGTAGGA